ATAAAAAATTCAAGAAATACCTTCCGCAGAACAGTTATACAAAGGCCCGGGAAGCCCATTGAAGGTATAGGCATCAGAGACATTTGGACCTCCACCGGTTTGTGTTGCTTGGGCAATTATGCCCTCCGGATTGGTATTAAACCACTCTCCTGCACATATGAAGCATTGTATATGACACGGTGCTATACAAAAGTACATACAAAATAACAAGTTGTTTGAAAGAAAATGTAGAATTTGGCTTTCCGTAGATATGTTTATTTTACCGAAGATGATGGGAACTTCTTTATACGGCTTGGTAAAAGGGTAGGGGACATTAAGCTTMGGAAGAATGATGAGAGGGCCATAAAGACTTGCTCGTAGCCATGATATATGTGCATGCCAAAACAACGTTCCTCTTTGTCCAACAACGGTGTAATTGTACACGTAACTCTGACCGGTTTGTATGGGACATTGTGTTATGTAAGCTGGCCCATCAGCCCATCCACTCCGAAGCTGTCGAATACCATGCCTGTGTATCGAAGGAAACATGTATATATATATGATATTATGATTACAAAGAATTAGGTAGAAACATTAATATTACAACTCATCCTACGTACCAATGGATTGTAATGTTATTGGGGACGTGGTTGGTAACTTTGATAAGCAATCGGTCACCTTCCCGAGCAACAATACGTGGACCTGGAAATTTCCCGTTCACCGTAACCATGCTCTTAGTGTGGCACAGTCGTGTCACGTTCTTCAGCTGGATCTGCATGTAGAAATGTATTTTGGATCATGATGTTAAACTACAACAAGGATTAACATGATGGACATCATATCAAACGAGACGTACATTAAATTCATAGCTCCTGGTAGTGCCACCAACAGAATGAATTGGAAGCAGTACAATTATTGCTACCAACGAGAAGAGAATTCCTACAAAACCACCCATCTCTCTCTCTCTCAGGTCGAAGAGTCTGAATGCTTTCCTACTCTAGAACCAAGCTATGGAGGTTAATATATATAGGTTTAATCTAAGGATGGTTTGGCATATTGAACAAAGATTTTTGATTGGACCACCTACAGTTGTTAAGATGCAACTTTAGAGTGGTAGCAAAGAGATCATTTCCATCTATAATCTATTCTTTGTGAAAAGCTTTCCTTTAAACTGTCGTAAGGAAAGATCTTCATTAAATATATATATATATATATATATATATATATATATAACTTCATTTGACAAATTCGTTTTTATCAAATCTGAAAATAACTAGCTATGATGATTTCTGATGACTGATATTGTTTTCAAAGTGGTTAATTCGTACATGAAGACAATAAAATAAATAATATATTACCGTCATCAAATAGACATGAAAGATCAACTTCAGCAGCATGTTGTTCTACCAACCATGCTTTCTTAAAGTCTTCTATGCCTCCTCTGCCAGCTTCTCTCTACATCTATTGTGTTTCTATATTACCAACCCCATAGTCTCCTTTGAGAAGTTAATTAAGCTACTGGACACTTTCTTAACTTCAACTTTATCATAATTAACTAACAAAATTTTAAAGAACAATCTAAAATACCTTTCTGGATGGTTGCAAAAGCTTTCCTATTAGATCCCTTTGCTCAAGAAACATGTTCCCTTGGAAATAAATCGCTGGATATCAATTTTAAGAAGGCATAAAGTTTAAGAAAATTCATGGTGATCATGTTTCCATCGACAATGCTTATGTACCTCGTTATAGTATCTACTGATGATGGAATTATATGATTGCAAGTATTGTTTAGAAACATAAAACGTTATTATTTCTAGGGATAAAACATGTGTTTTAACCTTATATACGTYATTGGTAAATATTTAAATACATGCACGTATTGATGTCTTGAAACTGGAAACAAGGCAACAAATACATCAAATGGTGATCTGCTGGTGATCAATAGCTCTTAAGATTGGTGAGATGTTCTGCACACTGCATCTTTTGAGATGGTGGTGTTGGTGTCTTCGGCAGCTGTSTTGGATCGATATGCTAAAACAACCAAAGTTTATTTGATAATCTRAGAATTCACACTATGAAAAGTGTGTAGAATTTACATATTTATAGACACCGAAAAGGTGCCATCGAACCATCGCAATGGTTCGTGAATAGAGGTGTTGAAACATCACACCCTTTCGTGAACAGTCGCACCTCTTCGTTAATAACTACCAATAACTACCTAAATATATATACATATACTATTTTAAATCGAGATTAATCTAACATTCACCCCTTTAATCTCGATTGTGTTGAATAAGATCTTTAACTCCAAGTAGTTGCCTCATAGTGATGAACCTTATTCTTGGTAGTGGCTTTGTCAGAATGTCAGCTCGTTGTAGTTCTCCAGTGATGTGTTCAACTGCCAAATCTTCTTTCTCCACGCATTCTCATATGAAGTGATACTTAGTATCAATGTGTTTGCTTCGTCCATGAAATACTGGATTCTTCATTAGTGCTATTGCTGACTTGTTATCCACATAGATAGTAACCTTTTCTTCCTTAGTATCAGTAATTTTGCTGAGAAGTCTCTTTAACCAGAGAGCTTGTATTGCTGCTGYTGTTGCCGCAATAAACTCTGATTCACATGAGGATAAAGCTACTATTCCTTGTTTCTGAGTACTCCAACTGATAGGTGAATTTTCAAAGTAAAAAATTATACCAGTTGTGCCTTTACCTTCTTATGTGTTAACACCGTAACTGCTGTCGTTGTATCCTTGTATCTTGTTTCCTCCTTCATGCCCATAAGTTATACCATAGTCCTTAGTTCCTTTGATATAACGCATCACTTGTTTGATTGCTTTCATATGCTGCTCATGTGGGTCTTGCATGAAACGACTAAGTAATCCAACTGGAAAACTTGGATCAGGTCTTGTATGTAGTAAGTATCGTAGACATCCAATTATGCTTCGATATTCGGTGGCGTCTACGGATCTTGCTTTGGTTACTTTAGTGAGTTTGAGACCTGGTTCCATAGGTATTTTTGCTTCATTGCAGTCTAACATCCCTGTGTCACTGAGTATCTTGTTTGCGTAGCCAGTTTGCTTTATTGAGATTTCACCCCCGTTTTGTRTAACCTCAATGCCAAGGTAATAAGCAAGTAATCCAAGATCAYTCATTTCGAACTTCTCTTTCATCTGATCTTTGAAGGCTTCAATCTCCTTCTTTGATGATCCAGTAACTATTAAGTCATYAACGTATACTCCAATCAATAGTGTTGATGCTTTACTTGTTCTTGTATAGACTGCTTGCTCCAAAGCACATTTCTTGAATCCAGGTGTCTTCAAAGTGTTATCTAACTTGGTGTACCATGCTCGTGGAGCTTGTCTTAGCCCATAAAGTGCTTTCATGAGCCTGTAGACTTTTCCTTTGTCTCCTTCTATAAATCCTTCAGGTTGTSAGACATAAACTWCTTCCTTTAGTTCTCCTTGTAGAAATGCTGATTWTACATTYAGGTGATGTACTTCCCATTTGTTGTATGCTGGCAGAGCCAATATCAATCGTATTGTCTCAATTCGTGCTACTGGTGCAAAGACTTCATCAAAGTCTATGCCATGTTCTTGAATATATCCTTTGGCCACTAGTCGTGCCTTATGTTTTARTATTCTTCCTTYAGCATCCCTCTTTGTCTTGAATACCCATTTCAAACCAATTGCCTTATGATCCTTTGGTAGGGTAGTTAACATCCAGGTATTGTTCTTGTTGATAGAATCAATTTCTACTTTCATAGCTTCAATCCGTTTGTCGTCTTTAGCCGCTTCCTTGAAGTTTCTTGGTTCTTCTTCTACTAGTAATAACTCCTT